GAAAAAGAAGAATTTGAGAGAAACTTATTTTTGAGTGTGTTGAGAAACCCAAATAGTTTTACCGCTCTTATGTGTAAAAGTAAAACTGTGGTGTATTTAAGAATAAAAGAGAGTAAACAATATAATACAATTATAAACATCGATTATTTTTGTCGTTTTGAATATAGCTATTATAGTATATAAGAAAAATGTTGGAAAGTAGGAATGATAACGGGATTAGCCCACAAACGAATTTCTTGTTCTGTGGCATTTGTTAGCTTTAAGAGGCCACTGGACCATTGAGGCTCAGGTTTTGTCTAGTTGGCCAAGCAACAAAGGTAGATGATGTCTTGTTCAAATTCAATTTGCCAACCAAAATCCATTGAATTTGAACCGGACATCTTCCATTATAGCTTGGCCAACTAGACAATACAGAACCTTTAAAGCAATCTTGAAAGGCATGGCTTTTGCTTGACCCAAGGCTAAGCCAGAAGTATATTTTAACAGTGCAAAGCTACAATTGCTTCATTTCTAATCCATGTCGGGGACTGAGTCCAAGCCTTGAATATTGACTTGATGGATCAAGAGAGTGGACCCTTTTCGATGGGCGGCAAGTCTATCATAGGCTATATATCAATTACTCGTCCATCGTCCAATGTGATTCGTGAGTAATAGTATTATAGGAAAATTATGTTTTAGACTTCGGTGGCAACTTGCAAGTTGGTCACAAACCTTTAAGATGAAGTACTGGTGTTCAACTTTTCACTACTGTTGCACAGCAAATCCAAGATGAATCTTTCCAGTAAACTTGAGATTGAATAGATAAATCCCAGAATGCTATCACATACAAGTGAAATTTTATAGGCAGCCACTTGATAAACAGAATTTTCATAATTGATCAACAAGGCATTGAATGATGTGTTTCCTAGTTTTGTTGAAACTGGTGCAAATAACTGGAATCTTCACATTTAGGTTCAACCAGGCAATGTCAAGAGTAGTACCAGAATACGCCCTCAAAAGCTACATGTAATCTTAGCCAAACATGCTAAAAATATTGATCGCCGCTGTACAAGCTTTCATCTGTTCATATGCACAATCCCAGTAGGGGAAACTCCCTGAAATGGGACTCTTCAAGGTTCAAGCAGCAAAGCTTCCTTCTGGAATAGGTGCATGTTCTATTTACTTCTGATGAAATACTACAAATTTTTTTTATAGTCAAGTCCCCAGAATATTAGCATCTCCATACTGGAGTTGGATCTGTAAAATATTCGCATAAGTAATACTCTTTTTCCCTCGCATATTTCCCAGAACAAACTAATTCACTTTTATTTGGTTTTCTACTTCAGAACTTTCTATCACGCGCAGCCAGTGGCTTGTGCTAAGCTGTCAACAAACTATCAGTCAGAAGAACTCTGTACAACTTTTAAAAGTGTAAACAATCAATTCCCCTCTACAAGGGGAATTGTTCAAGTGTAAAACATAACCAGACTTGTTCTGCCAAAATAAACCAGATAACTGGGATCGTTTAAGTTGAGGTAAAGTTTCCTCTGGAAGTTTAGGGGAGTAATCAATTCACATTCTGGTTAAAATATCTTACAGGTAATAAAATTGAAGGATGTAACCAAGATTATTCCACCTAAACAACAGTAACAACAACAAACTGAGCCTTATTTTCCGTAAATTTGAGTCACCAACACAACATTTGGGATTATTTAAGTTGATTAAAGTCTAATACTGATTGTAGGTTACATGAATTCAATTCAAAAAAATGGCATTTCGCAGTGGTAATTATTCTATCAAAACTTTATGCATATAGTAGAACTCAATAGTCATTAGTCAGTTCTAAATGTAGAATTTACAAGCCAAATGTCAAAGCAACACAATAAGAACATACATTAGTACTTATTGAGGAAACAAAATGGTTAGTATGTAAATTACCTTACAATCTTCCAGATCTTTAGCTCTCATTTGATACGAAAGCCAACAAAGAACACCGTTTTATATATGTTTTTTCAGGACATTTGCGCCTAAAATATACAAACTATACTGAACTTCCCTCCCTTAAAAACATCGTTTTTAGCTAAATAATTCCATTATAGGATCATGCCGAAGCTATACTCCCAGAATTCCCTCTGCACACTTTGCACAAAACTACTTCACATCCTTAACTCTTCCATTCAAAACCCATAACTCCCATCATTTTGCAAATTCATGTCATAAACTTTTGAATCTTTACTCTTCTCATAGCCATTGCCCCTCCTACGCTCTCCAGCTCTGCTGTGAACTCCATTTTCCCTTGCATCCGACCCCTCCGAGTCACTTGAATACTTAATCCTATTCCCCTTCTTCCCAAACCTTCTGCTTGGAAAAGGTCCACTATTACCTTCATTTGACACATCCTTAAAATTCTCTTCTGTAAAATCATCCCAATTTCCTTTGTTATTCAATCCAAGTCTCGTTTGTCTTGCATTCTTATTATAACCTTTTCTTTGCAAACCCATTTCCCCATCACTCTCATTGCCCGAGCTATCACTAGGTTTCTCAATTTTCCCATAGGGCTTGATGCTATGAACAACCCCCTTGGGGAAAAACCTAGCCGTGGACATCCCATTATCAGGTCTGAACAATTCCGGTCCATCTCTTTCAGACCACAAGTCCAACCCTCCGGGCTTCTGGAACCGATCAGCCAAGACTTTCAACTGCTCGTCAGTACTCACAGAGAACAAAGTGGGAGCCTTCTCAACAACCTCCCATGGCTTCTCTAGTTCAGATACCGCAGCCTTAAGCTCGGCCCTCTTTCGCATCTCATAGATTTGCCGTTCTCGTGCCAACCGGGCTTTGAGAAGCTGCTTGGCTTTTTTGGCCTGCATCCTCTTCCATTGCCACTTCGAAACCCCTCCTGGGTATGTCCTGGGCCCACCCCCCATTCGAATCGTTGTCGTTTTCCAGGCAATATTGCTGGAGTTAGTAAGAGAATGATGTGGAAATCTTTTGTTAAAGAATACTTGTGCTGTGCTCGAGCCGCCCGAAAGAGTTCTTGATGAAGAGAGGGTCTGTAAGGGTGTTGGGATTGAAATGGACATTTGGAATATTGACATTTTTGGATTTTGAGTCTCTATATCAAGGAATACCTTATGAATTATCCAGATGCAAGAGGTTAGAGTCTTAGAGATGAGGATTGAGTAGTGTGTGAAGAAGATGGAGTTCGCCTGGTGGAAATTACATAAAAACAGGTGTTTAAAGATCTATTTTTATAAATCAGGTTTGTAATTTATTTATTCAATTTTCAAGTTTTATCATTTTGATTAAATAATAAATCATTTAATCAGTGGACGTGTGTATCCCGTTAATGGTGGGTTTCAA